CGAATTAGAATAGAATTAGAAAAAATAGAATTAGACACCTCCTCGAGTTGCTGCTGATCTAGCCTTCCCCGAAGCTCGAAGTCTGAATCATTTTAGCGACGTCGTTTTGGTACATGGTTCCTTCCGATTAGTACAGACAAACTCCATCATAAGTCTTCGACGAAATTCCTGCTTAATTGCTGTGTATATTCATTGCCGTCGATGAAAAGCTTGGTATGTCGTATTTAGGTACAGTACAGCCGTTAAAATAATTTTCTCCCAAGTACAGCTGTGAGAAACGGATTTTCAATGATTGATGAGTTGATAATACGTTGTGAAATATATATCCGTTGATTAAGTTTACGTGAAAGTTATACAATATATTTTGCTCTTTACAATATTCACACAAATACCTGTAGCATTTTAAAAATTCATCTTTAAAAATGGCTTAAAGTAAATCCTACATGTTCTTAGAAGAGTGTGTAAAAGGCTAGATGTATGCACATGTTCATTTGCTTTAATTAGAAAATATGAAAAAACTAACGAACAAACATATTACTTCGCAAGACAAACATGCAGCAGTGATTAGAAATCCCCCCCCCCCCCGCCAAATAAGAGAAGTCCATTCTAAATAATTTCACCAAGCTCACAGAATTAAACTGAATTTTATCTCACAACACCTCCATATAATCGTCTCACTATGAATAAATACGAATCTTTCCATAAAGTGTTCTTGTTGAATAAATGCGAATCTTTCCATAAAGTGTTCTTGTTGAATAACTACGAATCTTTCCATAAAGTGTTCTTGTTCTACAGCTATTTGACACCATTCACAACTAGTAATAACTGAATCTGAAAACATGACAGACATAAAACGGGGCCATAGATATTACTCTATATATTGGTCGGGGATGAACGAACAAGGTTAGGAAATTCTGGTATAGAGGATCCGTAGAAAATGGGATATTTACTTCCCTGCTGAAAGTAAACGGTTTTCTTCTCTTGACTTTGACAGAAAACTATTTTAACGGAATTCTGCAAGACTAACGAACCAAAGTGAAAAGATCATGTAACTAACAACAAATGAATTTTGTAACGTGTAGGGATGATAATGGTGATAACGATAATGATAATAATTAAAGTAATATTAATAAAGATAAAACAAGAGTAATATTAATAAAGATAAAACAAGAGTAATATTAATAAAGATAAAACAAAAGTGATAAAGATAAAACAAAGGTAATATTAATAAAGATAAAACAAAAGTAATATTAATAAAGACAAAACAAAAGTAATATTAATAAAGATAAAACAAAAGTAATATTAATAAAGATAAAACAAAAGTAATAACCATGGTGATTGTAATGATCATTATAATGATAATGATATTGATAATGTTCATGTTGATAATATTAATAATGACTAGAAGCACTCAGCGCATATCTCCGCCAAGGCAATAGGGTCGCTAATGCAGTAAGAATATTTACTTTAAGAGTTATTAAAATCACTTCTTTCTTAAGTACACTGGTGACGTCCGTGTTTCCCTTTCTCGCAATGCTAATGAATCCTTAAAAAATCATAGATCCGGATTGTAATCTAGATCGCCACCTGAATTGGGCTAAGATAAGAAAAAAAAAAAAGAAAAAAAAATCTGTTCATAACTTTCTAAATTTCTAAAATTCATAGATCCGGATTGTAATCTAGATCACCATCTAAATTGGGCTAATACAGAAAAAAAAAATAAAAAAAATTGTTCATAACTTTTTCAGGTATTCTGCCAACCGTCCTGGATCAGGATCAGGATCAGGATCACCACCAAAACTTAATGGCATCTAAGTTGGGTTATACAACACACATCTGGTGAAAACTTCATAAAGATATGTTCATAACATTTTGAGTTATCCTGCGCAGGATCCGGATCACCAAAATTTGATGGCATCTGTTAGTCTAAGACATACCTCTGCTAAAAAAAAAAAAAAAAAAAAAAAAAATCATAAAAATCTGTCTAAAACGTTTTGATTTATCCTGCTAACCAACTAACCAACGCTTCCAAAAGCAATCTCCTTGGAGTAAGTAATTAAAATAAGGATGATTATAAAGATGATCACTCTATTGGAGAGGGTAGCAATGACAATAAAGTTTGATGATGGATAATGATTATAATCATAAAAAATAATGTTAATGGTTATGATAAAGCCAATTAACAATAATGATAACAATAATGATAAACAATATTAAGCACACAAACAATAAGTCAACATTAAAGATAAGCACCAACAACAGCAATAATGAAATCGAGTTTCTTCCACTTGATGACTGCATGGGTTATCAAACCAAAACATTCTAAAGACCAAAAGACCTGAATTAGGATAGCCAGTAGTCAATGCGCAGACAGGATTTAAAACCCTGTGTGGCAACTAGTCATTTCTTCGAAGGAAAAGTTGCCAGTGTGTTTATTAACCATGTTTTCCGAAATTATTTTTTACTGTGTTCCTCCTTTCTTTGGTAATTTAGAGTAAATTTAATAAATTCATTTGTTTATTTTCTGTGGTAGAATATGATTACTCGTGTTTTTATATGTAATAATTCTGTCGCATTAAATGTCCAGTAAAGTCTCTTCGTGTTTATCGTCTAAACATACAAACTCGTTTCGAAATTTATCGCGGTGAACCTTTCAGAGGAAATCCGGAGGCTTGACGCATAGGAAATGGCTCTCTGTCTTGGGTTGTACCTTCTCTGCCATTCTTCTTCATATAACTATTGACCAGTGTATTTATCTATCTGACCATGTGCATGAGAAAGATAGCGAGATGTTTGATGGGCCGTTTGCCTATGTTAAGGTTGTGAATGCTATTATAATTAGGCCACAACTGTTCTCTGGGAATTGTGATTATCAGTATTGGAAGGAGAAATAATTAGGGCGATTGCGATTTTGTAATACACGTATCTGTCCCATGGTTTGTTTTTATTATTATTATTTATTTTTTGCCTGCAGTTCCGATTAACGAGGAAGGCAAGATACTTTTGTCCAAGGAAATGCTGATTATAAATGATACTGATGATACTTGCAACGATGGAAAATGATAATGAATATATACTCTGAACATGAAAATGTCTTAAACCAGATCTAATTGGTTACTGACTGCAAATTATGTATGTTCTATATATCAGGAGAATGTCTGAAAATATTTTATTCACGTTAGTAGTCAACTACTGCAAATGTTTGCCTTAAATGTTACAGATACAAGATGCATGATCAAGAATCTACAATCAAAATTCTTAACTGATTATAAAATGGAATATTTTTTATTACTTCACTGTAAGCACATTCAAGCATCGTTCTTGTCAGGCTTGTAAAAAGAAAGACAAAAAAAGAAAAAAAGAACAATACAAGCGATGACAGTAATCTGAAAGTAAAGGTATTCAGGATCATGAATATGGCTCCCTTCCGTGTACACTCCACTTGTATATTAGACACAAAAATCAGCCAATTACCCCAGCTTCCTTATATATATAAAATAAGTAAATAAATAAATGTAATAGAATATAACAGCGTGTTAAATTCCTTCTTTCACCTTGGTTATTTACAGGATAAAATATGTACGAAACCACTGCTGACTTAACAGGTGAATTCGTTACTACAGTCCCGAAGTCTTACCGCACAAAGTCTATATAACTTATTTAGACCTGTTACCCGCAACCTTGTTTTGATACAGATATACGTACAGCTGTTATATAGGGGAGTAGACGGGCTGTGTATTACCACTGGGTGATTTGCGGTGATTAAATGATACGCAGAGACGCCGTAAGTGATTATATTATTAATGGACAAACAGGATTCGTGTACATGGTCGTTGCGCTGTACTTAACAAGGAGATTTTTGATTATTTTTAATTATTTTTATTATTTATATATTTGTTTATTTTTTAAGTGGGTATTCTCTAAAGGGGAAACTAAAGGGGCATCTCGAACAGCCTTTCCTTTTCTCTTTCCGTTTTTCACCCTCCTCTTTCTACCTTTCGTCTTCCTTCTCCCTTTTCCTTTCCCTTTCCCGCTCTTCCACCCCCTCTCACTCCCTATTTCCCCTTAACTTCAATACTCTCCCACTTCAAGCACTACTTCTGGCCCCTCCCATTTCCCTTCTTTTCCTTCCTGACATCCTCCACCTCCCTCGCTCCCTTATTCCTTTCCCTCTCTCCATCCACTATTTTTCTCTCTGAGCACCTCTTTCAACCCCCTCTGTCTATCTCTCGCCTCCTCTCTCTCTCCCTTTTCCTCTACCTCTGCCTTTCCCGCTCGGCCACTCCCTTCCATCCCCAAATTTTCCTTAAATACACTCCTCCCCTCCCACTTCTCTCCTCTTCTTCCTTAGCCTCATTCGCTCCCTTAACCTCTTCCTTCCCTCCCTCATCCCCCTCTCCCTTCCCTTCCCATTCCTCTCATTCACCCCCCTCCCTCTTTAAGCCTCTTCCTCTCCCTTTTTCCCTTTTTTTTTAAGCAATTTTCTTCTCCCTTTCTCCTTTCCCCCTTCTCTTCCCCCTTTCCTTTTTGTTTTCCCTCTACATTCCTTCTTTACCCCCCCCGGCTTCGGATGATTGTGTAATTAATGGAAGTGCATAAACTGGGGATTGATAACAGTAATAACAACATCAACAATGATGATAATGATAGTAATGATCAAAATGATGATAATTTTAGAGGCAGAATAGGATTCTAGGAGATTTGTGTGTGTGTGCGTGCCCGCTCTTATTTTGATCTTCACATTGTCATTCATCATCCCGTAAAAAAATGAAGCGACTTCAGATCTACAATTATATAAAATTTTAATTCTATGATTAACGTGCCTAGCTTACATTAAAATGAAGCGACTTTAACTCCGCAGTCACACAGAATATTATTCCAAGCGAAATCAGGAAACGTAAAAAGTCACTAAAGAAACACAAACTTTACTTGAACACAATTATATATGAACGTTATTCAAGCGCAGCTGTTCGAGCACGGAAAATTTACTCGCAGTCCCCCCCCACACCTCCCACTAGCTCCAAAGGAAACTCTTACCCCCCCTCCCCCCCCAATGCCCAGGCGAAGAGCTGAGGCGTGTCGTAAAGAGTGCCCATCAGTCTGTCACTTACCACGGGGAGGGGAGGAGTGCGCGCCGTTTCCTCTGATTACAGGTAAGGGACTATGTATATTATTTTTATTTTGAATTTATTTTCATGCTTTTCTCTCCTGGAGGGGTTTAAAGTCATTGTTCGTTGGTTAAAAAAAAAAAAAAGCAAGAAATGGTAAGTAACATATATATCTGGAGGGGAGGCGTGTGTTATTTTGTGTCATTATTCGTTAATTTTGGAAATATAGAGGAAGGAAGAGAGAGCCAGATAAATAGGCAGAGAGAGAGAGAGAGAGAGAGAGAGAGAGAGAGAGAGAGAGAGAGAGAGAGAGAGAGAGAGAGAGAGAGAGAGAGAGAGAGAGAGAGAGAGAGAGAAATCGATCAATCAAACGATAGGTAAGCAGATAGACAGATAAAAAAAAAAACAGACTAGATAAAAAGACAGATAAATAGATAGATAGAACGAAGGACTACAGAAGCCTTGAATACTGGAAATAGATATAGAAATAGAAATAGATACAAAAATAGAGATAAGAAACCAACTTCTACGCAAGTTATAAATCGTAAGGTTCCAAAGAATTATACATTGAAAATAAAGTAAAATAAG